TAAACAGAATCCAGTTCTGGTGAGCCTTTGCCTGGGCGAAGGACCCTCCCCTCTTTAATACCCTCCATTAGAGTTTAGGGAAACCCAGTTCCCGAAGGAGAAAACTAGACAGAGGTCTGGATGGAAATGGCTTTCACTGCCGCAATGCCTTGAGGCTGCTGAGTCTCATGATCAAGCCACATTCACAGCAGGAGGAGCTGAAGACTTTTAGCTCAGCTCCTCATTAAATGTCCACCAGTCAAGATTGATTTACATTGTCAGGGGAGTTCCCTTTCAGAAGGAATTTAAGGCATTTCAGAGTCTCCCTGGGTGTCTTTGGTTAACTGAGAAAAACACTCACCATCAATTTCTTGATTACAGGCTACTCTAATTAATAAATTGTTTATCACCACAAAACTCTACTTTTGGGGTTTTCATTCACTATGCTCCTTTCTCCATTTTATTGATGTAAGTGTTTAAAGACACAAATTTTCCCCTAAGTACTGCTTTGGCTGTACCCCCTAAATTTTGGCATGTTGTCTAATTATTGTCATTCTCTTTAATGAAACTGTTTCTATGATTTGTTCTTTTGTTGTGGTCTAGGGGTGCTGGGAACCCTGAAATGCAAAGGTATAGGGCATGAGTCTGCTACAAAAGAATCCAACCACTCAAGCCTTCTTTCAGTCAGAGACAAGGTTTATTGTGACGCTAATATAAGCTGGCTAGATTTTTAAAATCTGAGTATTTGATGAGGGTAAGATTGATATTTTATACAGAAAGACAGTGAGAAGATCTGGATGGGATTAAGGAGTGACTAGTAGCCTGGGGTAGGGCCAGGTGAAGACGAAGGAACAGTTAAGTGGCAGAAGAGCCCCAGTGAAAAGGCAGTTAAAAGGATTATTGACTGGGATGGGCCTGGGTTCAGGGGGCTTTGCATCCAGGTCCCAAAGACATGGTCTTTTCCTTTTAGGGCTCCATCATTAGCACCCTATCACTTTTACCCACTCATTCTTTAGGTTTAGATTATTTAGTTTCCAAGTAATTTTTAATCTATGTTTCTATGGCCCTTTATTGAATGTAACTTTTATTGCATTATGATATGAAAAGGATGCATTTAATATTGCTGCTTTTCTGCATTTGATTGGAAGATTTTTATGTCCTAATATATGGTCAATTTTTGTGTATGTTCCACTGAGAAAAAGTTATATTCCTTTCCATTCCATTCTGCTTTCTCCACAGGTCTATCATAGTTAACTATTCTAAAATTCTATTCATCTCCTTAACTCCTTTAGTGTTTATTTTATGGTTAGGTTTATCTAGTTCTATCTAGTTTATCTAGTTGAGGTCCTCCACTAATATAGTTTTACTATTTCCTCCTATAACTCATTTAACTTTTCCTTTAAGAATTTGGACATTATACCATGTGAGAGCAGGACTGGATATTTAGTACATTGATCTGTGAAGAGATGATAATTAAACCCAAGGGGGTTAATGAGGTCACCAAGTAAGAGAGTGTAAAGACAGAAGGGGCCCAAGACAGATCCTTAGGGTACTCAGTTAAAAGGAGCTCTGGACTAGGCCTAAGGCAGACTGGTCTAGTGGTTCAGACTCAGGATTGGAATGAAATGAAACATGAAAATAAAAAAGCAAAAACTGAAAGAAAAGACAGTAAGAAATGTCACAGCCCCTAAAGGAGAGCAGAATCAAGATGACTATACATAGAAAGAAGCTGAGACTAGCAATCCCAGGGTTTTCCACTGCCCTTTAGAAGGCATGAGTTCCACTATACCCAAAGGCCTATAAAACTGTGCCTACCCTTTGACCCAACAATAGCACTTCTAGGGCTGTATATCAAAGAGATCATAAAAATGAGAAAAGGACCCACATGTACAAAAATATTTACAGCAGCTCTTTTCATGGTGGCCAAGAATTGGAAACTGAAGGGATGCCCATCAATTGGGGGAATGGCTGAACAAGTTGTGGTATATGAATGTAATGGAATACTATTGTGCTATAAGAAATGATGAGCAGGTAGACTTCAGAAAAACCTGGAAAGACTTGTATAGACTGCTGCTGAGTGAAGTGAACAGAACCAGGAGAAGGTTGTATACAGTAACAACCACATTGTGCGATGACTAACTTTGATAGACTTAGCTCTTCTCAGCAATTCAAGGATTTAAGACATCTCCAAAAGTCTCATGATGGAAAATGTTACTCACATCCAGAGAAAGAACTATGGAGTTTGAATGCAGATCAAAGCATACTATTTGCTCTTTTTTTTTTATTGTTTTGTTTCTTCTTTCTTGTGGTTCCTCCTATTGGTTCTAATTCTTTACAATATGACTAATATGAAAATATGTTTAATAAGAATGTATATGTAGAGCCTATATCAGACTGAATGCCGTCCTGGGGAGGAGAGAGGGGAAGGAGGTGGAGAAAATTTAAAACTCAAAAGCTTATGGAAGTGACTGTTGAAAACTAAAAATAAATTAATTAATAATAATAAAAAAAGAAGGGATGGGTTCCAGATCTTAATCTGATCTTTTTGGTAGTTGATGCTACAGCTCAAAGTGGGTCTCCTGATGTGAAATAGTGATTATTAGCAGAAGTGGCACCAGAAGCATTAGGGCCATAGTGAAAATGTTGATATTCTGGCACAGCATCAATTCTCATCACAGATTAGGTTCATTTGTAGTAAATTAGCTAAGAGGTCATTACCCTCTCACATGGAACCAGGGTCCTACAGCCAGGGTCAGTTCTAAGATTTACATCCATTCAGTGTTCCCTGACCCACTATCCAGAACCTCTCCTGCCCTGACAGCCCAATGGTGGTGGTGAGGGGGACTGATAACCACATTTTTACTCCTGTAGAGGGATATCCTATGGGATTGTTACCTTCTTCCTCTGGGGCTGGGTAGTTATGCTAGTTATGGATGTTTAGTCATTTTATTCATGTCCAACTCTTCATGACCACACTTAGGGTTTTCTTGGCAAAGATACTGGAGTGGTTTGCCATTTCCTTCTCTAACTCATTTTACACATGAGGAAACGGAGGCAAATAGGGTTAAGTGACTTGCCCAGAGTCACACAGATCTGAGGCTGGATTTGAATTCAAGTCTTCTCTTGGGGCCCCAGATATGGCCCACTCTGCTGAGGCCCAGAGGAGACAACTCAGGACAATACTGTCTACTGTGAGCCATCAAGTGCCATACTCCTTCCCTATCATTGATACAGGGTCTCTGCCTTATTTGAATAGCTCCCTCAAAGTCCACATTTCTAACACCACCTCCTGGTGATGGTCATCTTCTCCGCAAAGATATTCTTTAGCTTGCATAGAGGTACCTCCAGAGTGCAGTCAACACTGACTAAAGAACCCAGGAGCTCCCACAGAAGCCATTCCCAAAAACCCCATTTCAAAGGATCTATTCAAGCTCCTATACTCAAGGAAAGAAATGCAGAGCAGAAAAGGCAACCAGAGGTCTGAGATTGCACCTGGATAAGCCCCTGCTCTAGCAGCCATAACATACAAAAAGGTGCCACTTTTGCTAAGTTTTCGGAAGGAACTATTCTTCCACCCATCACTAGAAGGGAAGAGAGAGGGAGAGAGAATGGATACAGAGGGAGAGAATGAGGAGAGAAGGAAGAGAAAGAGCAGTAGAAGGAGGGAAAGGGAGAGACAGAGAGAGACAGAAGGCGTGAGGGGAGGGGAGGGGAGAAGAGGGGAAGGGAGATAATCTACCTCTCTACATCAGTGGAAAGTTTCCACACAGGGGTTTCCAACTCAAAAGAAATCACAGATATGGACCTTAAAAATGACAGCAACAATAAAAGCAATGCATTAAATGACGGTAATCCATGAGATCTTTGATCCCAACATGACCTATGTGCTTAAGAGCTTTGAGCTTTCCTCCAGAATCAAATGTGATACAGTGCAAAGAGTCCTGGATTTGGAGTCCAATGATATACTCAAATGCTAGCTCTGCAACTTACTACACTACCTGTGTGCTCATAGGTTAGTCACTCAACTCTCTAGGCTTTAGTTCCTTATGTATAAAATAAGGAGGTTAGACCAGATGGCTTCTAAATTTCTTTCTAACTCATAGCGGTCTAAGTATTTTTCATTCCCCTCCCCCTCCCAATCTCCCCCAAGACTTAAGTTCTTGGAAGGTAAAGGTGATTTTTTTTTGGTCTTTGCATTTTCAGGCCCTACTACACAGTAGGTGTTTAATAAATCCTAATTCTTCCTTGACCTGCGGTGGGGGTGGGGGGTTATCTAGCTTTTCCATTTGTATCCTCAGCCCTTAGCACTGTGCTTTGCACAACGTAACCTTTTAGCACGTGCTTTTTCATTCATTCATATATTTGTAAGTACACACTCACACACACATACTACATACATACACACAGACATACATACATTCACTCAATCACATTTTCATGATTCAGTGGTTCCAAGTCTCCATCACAACCAATGGCTTCCTTCAGAGATTATCCCCCTTTACGCTGGTATGTATCTTGTATGTATATAGTTATTTGCAGGTGGTCTTCCCCATAAGAGTGTAAGCTCCCTGAGGGCAAGGGACCAGGTTTAACCTTTCTTGGTATCCCCAGTACTTAGCACCTAAGTAACTTAGCACTACTTGGTGCCTAAACACAGAGCTTGATCAGGAAGGGACCTTTAAGAAGCCATTTAGTACAACTCCGTTTTACAAATGAGGAAACTGAGACCCGGAGTAGTCAAGTGACTCAGAGGCAAAATCGAAATTCGAACCCAGAGCCTTTCATTCCAAAGCCAGTATTCCCTCTCCAGTTAACTGCGAAACTCCAGGGAGATGCAAATCTGAGGCTTCTCTTCCCAGACTCGCGGCGCGGCCCCGCCCATGGCCCGGCATCTCCGCGAGCCAGCCCCGCCCCCACCCACTGACCCCGCCCACGGCCCGGCTCCTCCGCGAGCTAGCCCCGCCCTCAGTCATTGCCCCCGCCCCCTCACGGATGGCTCCTCCTCCTCCTCCGGCTCCTACCCTCGCAGATCTGCTCCCAGAGATTTTTCTCCTGCTCCGGTGCAGTCTTAGAGGCTGCGGGCGTCTCACTAGCACCTGTGCCCGCGGCGGCGGCCGACGGCCCCGCTACCGAAGACGACGGAGACAGTGGAGAGATCGTAGACAAGGTAGACGGAGGAGACACCGCCTCCGCGATGGTCCCACCGGATACCGCAGCGTCCCCCTCCGGGGTTTGCGCGACCTCCACCACCAGCTGGGTAGCCGGGGCTTTGCGGCCAGTCTTCCCGGCCATGGACGCGGTTACCAAGCAACGACCCGGCGCCAAGTACCGTGACCCGGAAGAATCCGCGTTTAGCGGGCCATTTCAGAGGGGGAGGCTTTTATTTCCGGGGCACTTAAGAGTTGGTAGACACGTGGAGCGCGGAGAACGGTGATGTGAGGTGAGCGGGGGAGGAAGAAGGGGGAGAAGAGAATGCAGGAGATTGAAAGGGGGGGATAGGGAGCATCTGATTTAGCCCTCTTTTGCACCCTAATCTAACAACCCTCCTGCGGTGTCCCCAAGCCGCAGTCCTGTGTCTTCTCCCTTTTACAGCCAAACTCCTTAAAAAGGGTTGTCCACGTCCCTTTCTGGATTTCCTCATTTCCCAACCCTTGCTGGCTGCCTTGAGACCCCACCACTCCAGAGACTGCTCCCCGAGATCGTCAATGCTAGCCTAACCACTAGATCTGTTAATTCAAGAAATATTTATTAAGCATTTATGGTGCAGTGGGGGAAAAGGCCTATACTCCAACTCTTCTACGGGACCTTGGGAAAGTCACTTAAACTCTCTGGCCCTCAGTTTCCAGATCTGTAAAATGAGCAGGTTGGACCAGGACCCCTTCGAGGTCTAAATCAGGCCTGCACAACATAGATGAACTGAAAAAGATAGATTTGCCGCTGTCCATTCTCTCCAGTTTGTCATGTGACCCCGTGGCACCCAACCATTGTTAGTCTGTCTCTAGTCTAACCTTTCTGCAACGCAAGAAACTTAGCAAGTATTTTAATTTTGGCCCTTATCGATTACCAAATTGTGTAAGTCTGGTCTAAATCAATGATAAAAGCAATGAAAATTTATTAAGCAGATACTATGTTTTAGGCCTTGAGGCCAAAAACCCCAAAAAAACAAAGACCAAAAAACTGAAATCTGCCATCAGAGACATTGTGTAGGGGGAGAAGAGTGTCACAACTCAGTACAGATATAAAAATATATAAAATGAAAATATTTTTTAAATAAGCACATCCCAGCAAGGGAGACAGACAGACTGCAGAAGCTTAGAAACGAACAGCTGTAGACCAAGTCGAAGTATTGGAGTCATCCTTTACTCCCATCTCTCTTACTAGCCATATTCAGTTAGTTGTGGTCCAGATGCTCCCTCCCTGGGTATCTTTTTCCTTCCATTTCACATAAGAAAACCATCCACTGTACCTAGATCATTTAACTCCCTCATTGCTCTTTGAGGACATTAAGGTTCTGAAGGGACACTTGTTTCTTCTCTCCCTATTAAAATGTTAACAGTACATCATCATTATTTGCCCAGATAAAGTCACCTGTAGATTTTTCTGGGCTCTTGTGTTTGTTTTAGCTAGGTGTCATATTGTATAGAGCACTGGGCCTGGAATGAAGAAGACTTGAGTTCAAATTTGGCTGTAGACACTTTGTAGCTGACCCTGGACATTCACTTAATCTCTATCTCAATTACCTAATCTATAAAATGGGGATAATAATGGCACCTCCCAGGGTAATTGTGAGGATAAAATGAGATAAAATTTGTAAAGCATTTTGCAAAGTGCTATGTAAATTCTGCCTGATTGTTTTTCAAAATCCTCTGCTCTGTTTTTTTTTCCTCATCAGGAATGCTCAAAAGTTCTCTATTCCATTTGAAAGTACATTTTTTTAGGGTAAATAATTTTTGGTTGTAAGCCTAGCTTTTACCTTTTGGAATACTGTATTCTAAGATCTCTTGGTTATCATAGAAATTTCCAGGTCTTGTGGAATCCTGACTCTAGTTTCTTGGAATTTGAATTGCTTCTTTCTGTGTGCTTGAGGCATTTTTTTTTCCCTTGATGTGAGAACTCTGGATTTTACTATGACATCTCTGTTGCTTTGCCTTTTGGTATTCCTTTCAGGAGATGATTGGTAGATTCTTTCTATCTTTGCCCTCTGGTTCTGATAGAATTGGGCAGTTTTCATAGTACTTCACACCATATGCTAAAGTAAATTTCAAATGGATATGTGACTTAAACATAAAAGGTGATGTCATAAGCAAATTGAAAAAGCAAGGAAGAACTTACCTTTCAAGTCTATAGATAGAAGAAGATTTCATGACCAAACAAAGGTTAGAAAAGATCACAGAAGATAAAAGGGACAATTTTGATTACAGAAATTTGTACAAATACTAATACTAAATTAAAATTAGAAGGTAAATAGGTAACTGGGAAAAAATATTTGCAGTAAGCTTCTCTGATAAAGATCTTACATCCGAAGTATATAAGGAACAGATTCAGATTTATCAGACTAAGAATCATTCCTCAGTTAATAAATGATGAAAGGACATGAACAAGCTATTTTTAAAAGAAGGCTGTCAACAATTGTATAAAAAAATGCTCCAAGTCGCTGATAATTAGAGCAATGCAAATTATAGTATCTCTGAGGCTATACCTTACACCTGAATGATGTACGTTTGGGGTGTATAAGAAAACCTGATGCACTATCGATGGAACTGTGAATTGATTCAGACATCCTCGGAAGTAATTTGGAACCATGCTCCATTAGTCACTAAACTGTCCATACATTTTGTCTCAGAAATATCACTAGTAGGCCAGTATTCCAGAGATATCAAAGGAAGAGGACTAATGTATTCAAAACTATTTATAGCAGCTCTTTTTGTAGTAATAAAAAAAACTGCACATGATGGGGTTGCCCACCTATTGGAGAATGAATAAAGAAATTGTGCTATAGGAATGTAATGTAGTATCATTACACCCTAAGAAATGATGAAAATGGACAGTTTTTGAGTCTATATGAACTGATGCAAAGTGAATTGAATGAAACTAACAGTTTATATAATGACAACTATATTATAAACAAGAAACAATTTTGAAAGACTCTAATCTCTGATCAATACAATAATAATAAAGTGGGATTCCAGAGAACTGAATATAAATGAAGCACACCATCAATCTTCTACCAGAAAGGCAATGGAATTAAAATGCAGAAGATAAATATATCTTTAGGTATGGCAAGTATTAGAATTTTTTTTGTTGAACTTTGCATGTTTATTATGAGGTTTTTCTTCTGTAATTCTTGAATGGGGTGAGGAGAAAGTAGGAGAGACAGATAATAACTGGTTACAAAGAATTTTATTTTTATTTTTATTTATTTGGTTAGGCAGTGGGGTTAAGTGACTTGCCCAGGGTCACACAGCTAGTAAGTGTTATGTGTCTAAGGCTGGATTTGAACTCAGGTTCTCCTGAATCCAGGGCCAGGGCTGTATCCACTGCGCCACCTAGCTGCTCCTAGAATTTTTTTTTGAAGATAGTGTTCAGGCCTGTACAGTAATTCTTAAATCATCTCTCCTTGGCCTCTTTTCCAGGTCAGCTGTTTTTGATATCATATATCTTCTGTTTAATCTTTCGATTTTGTTCAAATATTTCTTGCTGTCTCATAGGGTCATTGATTTCTGCTTAGTCTATTTGAGTTTTCAGCGAGTATATTTCTTGGGAAAGATTTACCACTTTCTCATAAATTGCTCATCTCCTTCCATTTCTGCCCTCCAGAGCATTTCTTTCCTTCTTTCTTTTTTAAACTCTTGCTTCATTTCTTCTAGGCATAAACATAGTCTTTGTAGAAAATCCGTTTTTTTTTCTTTTGAGGCTCTGCTTGACACTGTCATGGAGTTAGATTTGCAGTACCTTTTTATACAGGTCAGTGTTTTCTTTGACTTACTTGTTGACAGTTTTAGTTCCTGAATTGGAGCTTTGTGCTAGGGCTAAGCTTGGCCCCTTTGCTTTGCTTTTGGGTAGGGTGGTCAGCTCTGCTTGGTCTCACCCAGGATCTCCCGTGTTCTTGTGCTGACCTCCAACTCCCCCACTTAGATCTTGAAGTTCAGAGTGCTTGACCTTCAGGACCCTCTATTGCATCTCAAGACAATGTGTTAGATACCTCAGATCCCCTGGGTCTGAGTGGTACTGGTCAGTAACATGCTAGTCAGTTGCTATTTACTGGGGCTTGCAAAATACCTACTTTGGCCTTTCACTCTTGCTATCTCTGGACAGAGAATTTTGCAAGCTATGTATCTTATCTCTGAATGTGCTAACACTAGCTTTCTTGGATGGACACTCTTTTTTATTTTCCATAGGCTTCTGGATGATCTTTATTCCAGCTCTGTAGTAAAAGAAATATTTAATGTAATTTCTTGTGGTATTTCTTGATTATTGGTGACTCTGAAACAAACTTTAGGATTTTGCTGGAGAAGGTATGTGGGAGCTTGGGCTGCCTCTCTTTCAGCCAACTTTTTTAGCAGGAGACTCCCCATAGTAATTTCTCCAAGGAAATTATGTTGGAAATCTCTGCATAGGTTTTTGCTGAATTAATAAAAATAGCTAGCATTTATATACTACTTTAAGGTTGGCAAAGCACTTCACAAATACTATCTCATTTAATCCTCATAGCAACACTGTGAGGTAGATGCTATTATTATCTCTATTTTACAGATGAGGAAACTGAGTTAAGCAGCAGTCAGGTGACTTTCCCAGGGTCACACAGCTACTGAGTATCTAAGGCTAGATTCAAACTCAGATCTTCCTGACTCTAGGTCCTGCCTTCTGTCCACTGTGCCACCTAGCTGCTCCCTATTGCTAATTCATTCTGGCCTATGATTACTTTCTGTTGACTTAGCTTTGTACCTGTTGTATCCCCCAAAGCCTGACACAATGCTTTGCATATAGTGAGCGTTTGATAAATGTTTTTTGAATTGCGTTGATATCATCTCCTACAAGAAGCCTACCCAGACTGGAGCCAGGCTATTGGCAGCCCTGTCTGTTTGCTTATTAATTGTTTGAGTTTGTTACTATCCATTCTGGATTAGATATCAGCCAGCTGGACTGGAGACAATAATTGTACACGTCCATCTGACTCATTTAGCTCTAGAATGCAGTGAAAATGCTTTTTTGTTGTTGTTGATTGTAATGATGTTTAAAAATTTTGGAGTCAGTGAATCCAAAATGTGCCATTCATCTCCTGATAGAGAGGTGATGCAGAAAGAGATAAATACCTTTGGACATGGTTAATGTGGAAATTTCTCTTGCCAATCTATGCAGCTATGTATTGGAGGCTTTATTTTTTTTAGTTTTTATTAATTTGCACATTGAGGAGGAACAGGTTAAATTTCTTAAAATGCTAAGTTCAAAAAAGTAAACTAATAAAACAAGAAAACGTTAGGGTTTGAGAAATAAGAAGGTCAAGAGCAAAGCGAGAAATTCCAGTCAGTTTGTGTAGTTGTTTTTTCTTACTGTACCCAGTGCTTATTATCAGAAGTCTTTATTAAGTGCCACCTGGCCCTTAATATGCTTTTGGTCATGAACTCCTTTGGCATTCTTTTTCAAAAATGTTTTTAAGTGTGGAAAATAAAATACAAAGGAAATGCAAAGGATTACAAAGGAAACCAATTATATTGAGATAGCGTTATCAAAAATTTTTATTTTAAAAAACCAAGATCATGAACTTCCAGTTGAAAACCTCAGCTGCGTACATTCTAGAAACAATTATCCATACCCTACCTTCTAGTATCCTCCAGTCACAGAATTAGAAAATTCCTGAGGTGAAAGAAATATAACAATTATAATTAAATATAATAATTATCTGGTCCAACTAATTTTGCAAATGAAACTGAGGCTGGGAAGTGAAGGGTCTTTCCCAAAGTAAAATAATTCATTATTAGTCACAGAGATCAAAGGAGAACCCAAGTCTGATTCCCAGCCCAGTTTTCTTCCTATTACACTCTTTCCCTGGCTAAGACCAGCCTAGAAGCAGGTGTTAAAGGAACTTGTGAATGAGATAACTATTTACCACACTCTAGAGGGAGCTGCTCACTGGAATGCACTTATCATTCTTCCAGTTATCCCCTACTCTTTTTTTTTTAATCAATCATCCATCACAGGTTCCAGGCCCCTTCAGAGGATGGCTTAGAATGTCTTAGGCTTTCTGGGGGCCCATGATCTAGATCTTAACAGGTTAGAAGGTGTTCAGAGGAAGACAGTCATAATAGTATGGGGTTTGGGGTCCATTCCTTGTTTATAAAGACCCTTCCAGGAAGTGGGGCTGTGTAGCTTGGAGAAGAAAAGACTTGGGGGAGAAAATAAGAGTTTTTATTTCTCCTTCCAGCAGTCTTCATCCTGTTCTCTACTGTGTTCTACCATTCTTGGATTTTTTTCTCATGAGATTATCTTAATATTCATTGCTATCCCATGGGCCCCCCTTTCTTTGCTAGACCCATATTCTAGTTATAAATATCATCCCACTTCACTCTCTTTACCCATACCTTTTATTTGCTTAGAGGTGTCTGAGGTTATGATTGTTATAACTGGCTCTCTTGAACATTGTCCTAAATTATTGACTCTCTCTTCTCTGATTCATCCCCATGTTTTACTTGCCTCTTATACTACATCCCCGTAGCACCAGGCTTGGCAGAATCTGTTTGGATAGTTTTCCACCCTCTCATTTTTCATTTCAATTTAGAATTCTTTTGATAAGATTCTTATATATTTTACAAAAATTCTAGGCAGGTAAGCTTTTTTTTTCCCTTAAAAGGCCCACTTCTCTTCATTCTCCCTCCTGATTTAAATTAGAATTCCTTTCTGTTTCTTCACTTCCTTTTCTTTCTTGAACTTCTTTAAAATACCTCTTTCAAGCAACACTTCATGCTTCCTAATAACTTGGGAGAATAGAGATGAATGCCTTCATGCTATTCACTTTTTCCACAGGATGGAGACCAATTTGCACTTCATGTATGCATAGGTATTAGCTTGATATTGAAAAAACCAGCCTGTCATTTTACAGAAGAAGAAACTGAGGATCACAAAGATGAAATGATTTGTCCAGCTAGTTAGTGGCAGATCTGGACCTTGGTTTGCTGACCCTCAGGATACCATGCTATTTCTTCAAAACTAGCCAGTAATCAGTAAGCATTTATTAAGTGCCTGCTATGTGTCAGGCACTGTGCTGAGTGCTGGGGATACAAAAAGAGGCAAAAGACAATCCTTACCCATGGGAGCTCACAGTCTGGGGTAGACAACAAGCAAACAACTAAGTACAAACAAGCTATTATACAAAACAAACAGGAAATAATTAAAAGGGGTTGGAAAAGGCTTCCTGTGAAAGAAGGGATTTTTTTAAGGGGCGGGACTAGGCAATTTGGGTTAAGTGACTTGCCCAGGGTCACACAGCTTGTAAGTATCAAGTGTCTGAGATCGCATTTGAACTCGGGTCCTCCTGACTCCAGGGCCAGTGCTCTATTCACTGTCCCACCTAGCTGCCCCAAAGAGAAGGGGTTTTAGCTGGGACTTGAAGGAAGCTGGTAGGCAGAGATGTAGAGGGAAAACCTTCAATTCATGCATGGAAGACTGCCAGAAAAATGCCCAGAGCCTGAATGTGGAATGTCTTGTTCAAGGAACAGCCAGATCAAATATAAATCAGAAGTTTAAAAGGCAGGGTAGGGAAAATGGCATATAATGCATTCTAAAGGCATACAACAAAGATAATAAAGTCAGACTTTGTTGTGGATTGTACCAGTGCTGTCAGACTGTAGGATTAGAGCAATCAACTGCAGCCTGAACTGATGAAAATAAAATTGGGAAATGTTTAACAAAGTAAGTCACAATACAATACAGTCCAACATAGATCATCTTAATTTATGGCTTTCTGTGGCCTTATTCGATCTGCGTTTAACACCCCTGGTCTACATTCTCTCCATTGGTTGGTTGGTCTGTAGTAATTTTCTTAGTGTCCTTCATACTAGTAGGTGGTTGGGTTTCTATCTTGTAGGTAGAACAGCAATGTTCAGGGCTTGAAAATTTGACCTTTGTACCATAGTATTATTCACAAATAACATACAGTTTTTTTATTGTGTTTGTGTATTTTTTTCCTGGCCTATGATTTCATTGTTGTAGAGAGCTTGTGGATGAGGAAACCTTTTCTTTTAATGCAAATCAGGAAGCACTCCCCAACTTAGAATCTTAGAGAGTTGTCCAAGGGTGCTGAGCTCACAGACCTCCTTTGAGTCATTCTACCAGAATGTGTCAGAGGCAGAACACTTAAACCCAGGTTTTCCTATCTCCCCTGCTGGTTCTCTTTATATTATTTCATGTTCCCATTCTTATATATTCTATGTTTGTGACATGTATGTATATATAGACATAGAAAGTAATCTTCCTTTTCCTCAACAATCTAGTAACACATCAGAGAACCATCATCATTTACTGACATACATAAAAATGCTGTGGAAAGACCGTGTTGTGAAGAAACTTGCATGATTTCCTTTTTCAGCAATGATTGCCAAGGCAGAAAAATTGGACTTTGGCAAGGAAACAAGAGAGAAGAAGAAAAAGAAGAAAAAGGAGAAGGCAGTGGAGAAGGATGCCTTGGATGTGGAACCCCTTGTTAAAACAAAGCCATCCCAGAAGAGTATGGCACCCCCAGGCGTTCCAGAGATGCCCTTGCTGAAAAAGAAGAAGAAAAAGAAGAAGAAAACTCAAGAAGCTGAGAGCCCAGGTAGAGCCCTCCATGAGGGTAGCATGGAGGCAGAGAGCATGGGTAGAAGCAACTCTCTGAAGAAGCATCATAGCAGGAAGGAGCTGCTTCCAAATCCACCAGAGTCCCCATGTCAAGGGAAGAGAAAGAAGACAAAATCATCCCTCTCTCACCCCCGAGGAGCAGAGACAGTGGTAGATGCGGAACTGGAAGGGGACCTTGTCAGAAAACCTAAAAAGCGGAAAAAGGATAAAAAGTCAGATCAGGAGAGCTTTGGGGAGCAGGAGCCCAAGGAGGCCCTTCCTGACCCCGTAAAGGAAGAGGAGGAGAAAGAAAAGGAGTGTGAGCCCATAGAACAGGGACAGAGAGAGGAGAAGCAGGATCTCAGCAGTCTCAGGGACTCTGGCACCAAGAAGAAGAAAAAAAAAAAGAAGAAGACTTACAGGGAAGAGGAGAAGGAAGACGAGGAGGACTGTAGAACTGACAAAATGCCCATTGATGACGGCCACATAGAGGACCCCAGTGCCTTCAGCAGCTGCAGAAAGAAAGGCCACAAAAAGAAGCAGCCCAGGATCGTGGTAGAAAGTGTCCCCCTCGTAGATAGCCCCGGGAACATCAAAAAGAAAGAAAAAAAATCAAAGACACAGATAGAGCCACCATTTGCTGAGGAACCTGCTCAGAAGAAGAAGAAGACAACAGTAGGTAGGAAAATGATACAAGACCCTCAAGGCCCAGGCATGGTAAGTCTTTTCCAGAAGCTGACTCAGTGTGGGCCTAGGTCCCAACAGAGTCTGAGCCTTTGTTATCTAAAGAAAGGATAGAGGCCCATAGAGACACCTATGTACTCTCGCACTGGAGAAAGCACATGCATGCACGCACACACTCATGGATGCACATACCTCCTTCCCTCAGAGGAAGCAAGATTTGCCCCTGATTGGGCTGACCCTATGGGCACTAGGGGTCAGTGGTTCAGAGAGGAACATGGGGGTTTCCGTTGATGGCTTTATCTTTAGAGTTCTGGAGCTTCTGTTGAGGGACCCCTCTTGGCATATTCTTTCAGAAGTTCATCCTTTTTGCTACTATTGGCATTCTCAGCCTGGAATGTGGTTTTCTTTTCTCTGTGTTGAGGATCACTTGGTCAAAATATTTCAACTCTTTGGAACTCATGACAGAAAATGTAATTGGTAGTTAAACCAAATTTGGACCTCTGAGGCCCCTTTCAGCTTTAAAAGTTCTGTTGATTTGTGTCCCTTTATTTTTCCCAATACTTTCTGCTTCAGGGCAGGCATAGGGTATGGAGGAAGATGTTCTGGTGTTCACAGTTTAGGTGCACAGGCCTTTGTGCTTAATTTTATGGTCCTCAATAATGTTCCTCTTTGGCTTTGTTTCCAGAGTTATGTGACTTGATCTTTTTCTGTCTTCCGTTGGAAACTACTCAGGAACTTCTTCCCTCCTTGTCAACCTTGGCCACTGGGCTAGTTTTGCCAGAACTGCCATCTAGCTCCCAAAGCAAACACAGAAGGGGGCCACTGTCCCTATATGCCCAGCACCTGCTGGCCTCCTTGGTCAGGGGAATTACCATGAGATTCCTGTAACCCGTATCAGTTTCTTAGCTTTGGTAAAATGTTTTTTGTCCACAAAGAAAAGAAAAGAAAAGTCTCACTGTTACACAAAAGCCACAGAAGTTCTGAGAGGCCCAAATACAAAACTCTCCTCTAGTTAAGCAAGGAAAGGATATGCCTATTTCATGGATAGGGAAGAGAAAGTGAAGTAGCTGAAGTGTGAGCAAGCTTTCCAACATCCATACATAGGAGGGCCAAAATTAGAACACAGGGCTCCTGGGTCCAAACCAAAGCTCACCCTTATGATATATAGGCAGAATTTTTTTAGGAAATAAATTGTAAAGAGCAGAGATGGCAAATATGTGGCCAACCATCAAACACAGTATATGTTCCTTATTAGAGAACCCTATTTCTGTTTTGAGTTTAACACCAATGTGATAGAGGACCAAGTGCATTCCAGGCTTAACCACTAGGAAGATGTTCCTAGGAATTCCTTCTGGGCCTTTAAAAAAAATGCATAAGTAGAAATGTACACTTTTGGAAATTTAGAATCTGTAGGTGAGAAAGGGGGGAAATTTTTAATTTATTTTTTTCTCGGTTTCAGAAGGGGAGGAATGGGAAATGCAATATAATCAACACTCTTAGATGACTTTTTTGTGGTTCTGAGGACACTGTTTATGAACATACAGGAGTATTAGATATAATTTACAAAATTATAATGGTAATCATATTTAAAGAGGTGAAAGCTTGTAGGGAACAAGAGAAAAATACCTGAGGCAGGATATGTGTGTTTGTTTTTTGTTTTTAGTAAGAAACCTCCAAACAGTTCAGGAGGAAAAGTTATGGATTCAGCCTTGCCAATTCACCTGAATTTTCTCCCCCGACCTTTCACTTAAATTAAGTGCCACCTTGATGCAGGGCATTGTGCTAAACATTAAGGGAGATGTTACAAAGTTTAGGTAAGTTAAGTGCTTGCCCTCATGGAGGTTACAGCCTGGCAGGGGGATCAGATGCAAATAAAGACAACTGGAATCCATCATACATAGTAAATGCGCTAGAGGTTTACTAGTCAATGCTTTGGGAGGTCACCACAGTGGGAGGCAGTGTGGTATCCTGGAAAGAGAGATGGATTTGGAGTTGGAGGACCTAAGTTTGTATTCACTTCTGCTACGAAAGTCTGAGGTTCGGTTTCCTTGGATATAAAATGAAAGGGTTGTGCCAAGTGATCTCTCAGTTCTCTTCCAGCTCTCCATCCATAGGCTTATGGGTCAGTATCATAGAGGAAGAACCATTTGATTTAGATTTTAGAGGAGTTGGTGATAGAGGGTGCAGAACACTGCTCAGGCACAGGGAATGACACCAGGAAAGCCCTTGTGGAGAGGAAACACAGGATTTTCAGGGGGTTGGGACAGAGAATACTCCAGGTTGGCTGAAACATGACACAGATGGAGGGGAACAACATGACGTAAGACCAGAAAGATAATGGTGCCCAATTGTGGGGGTCCTCAATGCCAGACAAGGGAGCTTGGATCTCCTTGGGAGGCCTTAGTGGCCACTGAAGATTTTGGAGCAGAGGAGGGATGTCACTAGATACACATATGTGCCCAAGTGAGTAACAGACATAGACACCCCCCTCCCCACTTTGCAGCAGAAGATACAGGGTTTTGGTACTAGAAATCACTAGTACTTCCTCTCCATTATCAGAAGAAACATCTAAGTAAGGGCCAGATATTTTGAGACTGTCAGAACAATGGGGTCTTGTGGGCCTTGAGCCCACCCTTTAACTTTACCCCAGCTTGACTCCTCAGTGTAAAATGGGAACCAAATGACTCAGCACTTTCCTGCTTCCCAGGATGACTGTCTTTATAAGGGCAGGTGAACATGGAAAATCCCTTTGGTTGAAGAACAACAACATAAATAATGTTCTGTCCATGTAGTGTAAGGAGCCATCCTCCTCTCCAGGAGACGCCTGCCATTAGTCTCCCCAAAGACAGGAAAATTGGCCCTTGGTCTTTTAAATGGAATGGATACATACCACTGGATAATTTGTGTGGCCTTTAATGTGAGTTTTTCTTTTTGACCTTGGATGAAGGGCAAGAAAATTTTAGCCTGATCAATTTTCTAATTAAATTGCCCCTGTTGCAGAACTGCAGCAGATCAGCACCTCATTATTTGGATTTCCGCAGCTGCTTGTGGAGGTGAGATAATGAGAGAATGATGGACGTGACCAGATATTGAGGCCTGGAGGATAATGTCCAGCCCCTATACTGTGCCCTGGGAAGTAAAAGAGAACATGGGAACTCCTTCCTGCTGCTGGACCCCTGACCATTAGCCATGTCTAATGGGTCCCAAATCATAAAAGCTGTTGAGAGAGTTAGAATTTGCTGTTGTGATTGAGAAGGCCACCACTTACATGTTCTCTGCCATTGATTTCAGTTGGGGGGGGGGATAATGGTAAACTGGGAAAGTAAAGAGATCATGTGGTTCTAAAATGTAGGCTGTTTCCTATCCCACTAGAACAGTGAAAGGAAAATGGATTTATTCTGGGCTGTGTTTCCCCTGTGGGGTTGGAAATTTGTAATACCAAGTGGTTTTATGCAATCAAGCACCTCCCCCACAGCTGGAGACATGACTGAAACTTGAGTGTGGAGGGTGATCAAGGTATGTGTTATCTTGTTTATTTAAATAATTTCTTAATTAAAAAGTAGTAAATAATAAATATGAACATTTCTACAGATCCAGAGGCCAGGAAAAGGGTATTATATATGAAACTGTTATTCTGTTACATGGTTTGATATTTGTTTTTTTAACATGTTAGTTTTATTGTGGTAATAATAACATGGCCCTATTTGTCTTTTTCTTTTTCTGAACTTCCCTTTTCTTGGCATTAAATGTTTTACTGATTTTTATTTTCTCTCTTTTTTTACATCACTATCAATATACCCTGCCCACATTTTTCCTTCCCCTCAAAATAAAAGCCTTGCAAGAAATATAGTTAAGCAAAATAAATGTGTATTAAAATGTTAATGTATGTCTTAATATATCCTGTTCCATCACTTCTCCACCAAAAGGCATGGTGTTCGTTTGTGATCTTTAATTGGAGAAGGGGAAGGGAGTCTTAGCTTTCTAAGAATTAACCAGGAGGTACCATGATCCCTTTCCATTTGTAGAACTAGGAGCTCAGGCCCAGCCGCTACTGAATTGAGTTTTTACAGCTCTTTAACCTTACATTTCTTAATGGAAATGAGAAGAGAGAGAGACTAGGCTGCTTAGGAGGAAACTTAATTACAGCTCCAAATAAATAGTTCTTTTGAGGAAAAAGTCTTAGAACAAGAGGATTTCAGATACTTGCTAGAAGATTGAAGTTTCTCCCCTTGCTTCTTATGGGTATGGTTTTGTAAGTCGTATTCAAAAGCTCTTTATGTAGGCAAGAGGGGAAAAATCAACCAAATTTCCAACATTTTTTATAGGTTGTTGTTTTTTAAGAGCTAAAAATAAGCCCTTCAATCAACTTGGCTGAAATTCCCATGTGATTTATTGTAACTGTTTACATAGGTTCTGTTTGCTTCCCATCTCATTTGACCTCTTCACACCACTCTCAAAGCTGCAAAAGAACCTCAAAGGCTAATCCAGTCTTAATGGTTGCTAATATTTGTGGTCTGGACCTGTGATTTTGTAGCTTCCCATGAGGAAACTCCTCTCCATTATCAGTCTCTAGCAGTTCTTTAATTTGCTATCTCAGTTGCTTGGGGCACTGAAAGATTAAGTGACTTATTCTGGGATTCACTGCCAGTATGAGCCTGAGGCCATATTTGAAGTCCAGTTTTTCCGACTCTGAAACCAGTTCTGTTTACTACCCACACTGCTTCTCTGCTATTAGTTGTAGTGTGTTTTGATGTTCACAAGGCTTTTTACACACAGTATGTCATTTGATCAACATACCTTGCCGAGGTAGGTACTGTGTAATGTATTAGCTCAGTTTTATAGAAAAACTGAAAGTCCCAGAATTTGGGTGACTTGATCATGGTCACAGGTAGTAAATATCAGAAGTGGAGTCAAACCCAAGGGTCTCCTTGATCCATTATTCTTTCCATCATACCACACTGCCACTCCTGTACTTGAGCAGGAATGCTCTCTAACGTACCTAACATTTTGTGGTCACCTGGCCTCTGCTTGGGATCAGCCTCTATCCTGGTTTCTAGCTGTCAGGGTATTCTGCTGTGCCTTGGGCTATGATATTATGATATGATATAAGCTGTGAGGTTGGGACCAGGGCACTGAGCCTGACCAGGCGTCCTGGCCTTGCTGACAGCATGTGTTTCTTCAGATGTGGTCATTACAGTGACCAGTAGTCACTGGCATAACATGCTAGTGCTTGTGCTTGTCCCCCAAGGAGGTCAGGTACGATTTATCCCCATAGCCATTTTCCAGCTCTCAATGCTGGGCTGTTGAAAACCTTTGCCCATGTACACACACTTGCACATATCACATGAGTTTTTGCTTTTACTATTCAGGCACATGAATCAGACTTGGAAGTGGTATCTGAAAAAAAGGGAAACTTGGATGAAGTCACCATAGACACGGTACAGTAGCATCTGCTAACCTGTATTGCCATCCAGGCTTTAACAAGTTAGTGCCAGTTATTGCCACTGTGTGCTACAGTCTTTAGAACAAAAGTCCACAATTGCCTTACCAAATGACAGGGTGGGAGTCTAGTAGAATTCGGAAAATACATTGATCCACTATAGATGAAGCTTCTCTAAAGGCACATTTCAAAAGTGTTGGTTTGGGAAGACTTGCCCCGTTCTGAGAAGGAAATGACGGGTAGGTCTATTCCAGTTAATCTTTTTTTTTAATTGAATTTGATCTTTTTTAATTGAAGGATGATCATGATCTTTGCTATTTTGGTGCCTCATAACTTTATGGGATAGGAACCCAAAGCCCTGAACGGGAGAGACTTACAGACAAGTTGCCTGCAGTCACAGTTGCAAACCCAGTGGTTTATCTGAGTTTAGAATCTCTTGCCTAGGCTTTTTGGTGTATATAAGAATATCCCAGTTATCTGAATAATTAGTAACCTCAACAGTCAATCAGTTAAGCAAGCGCTTCATTCATTTATTAATTACTTATTTTGGGGTTCTTATTTTGATATTCATTTTTTGTATTCTTTTTCCATTTTGAGTTCCAATTCTCTCCCTCCCTCCCTCCTACCCCCTCCTACAAGCATTTTATTAATTGCTAACTATATGTATATGCCAGACACTGTATTAAGCTCTAGAGATACAGAGAAAATGCAAAAACAGTCCCTGGCCTCAAAGAATAAGGAAGGATTACTTGTATAAATATAGGTATGCGGATTGAATCCAGTCACTTGAGAAGCGGAATAGATATGAGCCCCTGAAAAAAACTATCACAAAGCTCCATATAAGAATGACTAACTTTTAGAAAATGTCACATTTGTCAGAGAAGAATGATAAAGGCATACAAACAGGGTGAACATCAGAACTTCTGCATTACAGCATAGTAGTGTTGTAATGATGACACCGAGTCATTAAAGAAAAACATTATATCCTGTTTGAGAAAGGAAGGATGTATGTTTTGCATAATAAATCCAAAATAGTTAAAATGAAGATTTGTCTCTCAAGGTGGGGAGGTTTCTATTTGGGAAATTTACTTACGTGAACTAGCTGATTCCCTTATGATGTCTGATAAAATGAGATGCAACCGTGAACTATTCCTACTTTGTGTTGGGAATCACAAAGTCTCAAGACATTTAAAAATCCACTCTTCTCCTTTATGTATCCATTAACTGATGAAACATACTTCATCATTTTATTGTAATGAAATTAAGGAAGGTTTTTGCCCTTTCTCCCCTCCCTGAGCCTTGGTCTTCCCTTAATCATTGAGACCTCTCTTAGAACATTGGTGTCTCTTCATCTCTATTTCTTTGCTTTCCTTTCTCACTTAGGTTAGAAGAAAGGCCTTGCAAGAAGAGATTGATAGAGAATCTGGGAAAACTGAAGCTCTCGAAACCAAAGTGGAAGCGGTATGTATGAAATTGGACCTGGTTTTTTGCAGGATTGTTTGGGAGAGCAGCCATGCACTCTTCAGCATGCTAATCATGCTGCCCTTTTGGTGTACCAGTCTGTTTTTGGATTGCAAATTTAAGGTCATGCAGTAGAACAAATTAGTCCAATCCCCAGACATGGCACAAGATGACTGCTTTGCTCCCTTAGCAGTGGGAATTGTACTTAATTTCCATAATATCTTCAGAAAAGTAGAATTTGCCTTGCACCCACCTTGGAGAGGTGGCTGAGATAGTATAGCAACAGAGACCTTGCTCTCTTTTTTTTTGACTGTAGGACATTTTGGAATATAAATCAGTAAGTCACTTCCTGCTGAGCAGCAGAAAGGCCACTGGAAAAGTGCTAAAAGGGGAGAAAAGACAGGGCTGTTGGGTGGGATCTTTGACACCTTTCTAAGCACAGTTTTGATGGGAACTTTCTTAGCAAGGCCAGAAGTACTAAAGGAAAATTCAAGAGAGCTGTCTCACTCTAGCATAGAGTTTTGACTGGGTGGGAGCTGCTCATGGGGCAAACCATTTCCCACAAATGTCAGGAACAGAGAGGAAACATGCAAAGGAATCTGGTGGCTTCTGCATCCTGTTATTGCTATGGCTGCCATAGGCCTCACCTATGACACCCACATTCTTGGAATAGAAGGAAATTAAGTTTGGCTCTTTTCCCCAATGCCTCACCTTGATGGTTCAGCTTTGAATTTGGAATCTCCCATGTTTCTCCATCTTTGCTTCTTGTCTGTCCCCCAGTCGTCAGCAGTTACAGGGCTACATCAGCTGCCTTTTTTGTTGGTTTTTGCAGGGACTGGTGTTAGCACCACCATGGGTTGGCTTTAGTAGTAGCCAGACTGAAAGCTGCTAGCATGCCTAGGCACAAGCAATGTCTTAGAAATCATGTGGAAAGCAGCCAGCGGTCATGTGATCACTGTGGCTGTGTTCCTTCAGGTAGGTTACACAGACATAAATGTCTCAGTGGCTCAAAAGTCACTCAGAGAGGCTTCTGATAATATTTCCTCAGGGGTTATTGACCCTGAGGGAAAAAATCAGGCACAAGACTAATTTGCCTTCTCTATAAAGAGCAGGCTGGAAATGCTGTCTTAAAAGGCGAATGCAAAATAATCGCCAGCAGTTCACTTCAGAAATTATAGGGTTTGGAAAGCTGTAATTATTCTTGCATCTGTGCTGCCCGAATCCTCGGCAGCAGGAAAGTGTGGCACATGTTAAATTGAGGCAGCTGTTTGAGCAACCTGCAAATATATTTCTTCCCAAGCTGACAGAGAAATGAATAGAGACTGACATTTGGTTTTATAGGGGGAAATTCTCATATAATATGGGAGATCTGAAGTGTGCTGGCCAATCCGGCTCAAATTTGCAAAACCCCTTGTCCATTCCATGGCAAACTTGAAGAAGGGGTTACTGTTTGTTCTCTGGTTAGGGAGGCAAGATTGGGCCAGGAGTAGGATACCTGAAAGAGAGCATTGGGCCAGGAGTAGGATACCTGAAAACTTAAAACCAGCTCAGCTGTTCTCTCTGTTCGAGGGGAGGAAGGGGACGGGGAACCAGGATGGGACTGGATAGATAGTATGCTTACCCTCCCTGAACACCATCTTTAAAATCTTCTAGGAGTTATTGGAATATAATGAACGTGGGAAGAGACCAGGCAAGGAGTTTCCCCTCCAGTCCAAGCCAAGTTTCCATAGCAGTTGGGAATGGACTATGGACTTTTCATGGTTGCATTTCTAAATCCATCTTCCATTTTTCTGATACTTTTCAGTGACAGTGTATATTCAAATTGTGGAAATATGACTGAAAGAATGGAAATAATCCATAGCCCTAGGTTTTTTAAATTTAGCCCTAAAGTGACCTTGTATGCCTGAAGAGAAAATGAGGTGGGCCAACATTAAATAGAATTACTAAGAATCCTCCATATAGATAGCAAATTCCCATTCACTGGGAGCTGGTTATCCTTAGGATAAAAGTAGGAACCTCTTACCCTAGAGAGATTCATTACATTTAAAGTCAGTGGTTCCTAAATTAACATGAGTCCCCTGCATTCAGATCATAACTAAATCTGGCAGGCCAAAACCAAAGGTCCCATTTCCAGGAAAGGAGTGTATTAACAGAAAAAAGGCAGCTTTTTGAAGTTCTCCAAAGAGTGGTGACTTAGGCTCTCAGGGCCTTAGGGCCCCTTTGCTCTTTTTGAGATACATCCAGACTTTTCCTGGGATAGGCTAACCTGAGTGAGAGAAAACCTTTTCAGGACTGGTTCAGAGAAAGCTTTGTAGAACTGGTTCAAAGAAAGCTTTGTAGAACCTCTAAGAAGGGAAGGAAGCTGCTCACTGAAGATAGGACAGACAGCCTTCAGAAGGACCTGGCTGCTTTCTGCAAGTGCTGAGGGGCATGGGGTTTGAGGGAGAGGAAGAGCTTGGATGGGTTTTATTTGCTTTTATCACTCAGCTTTGGGTGGGGGGAGGGGGGGACAAGAAGCAGAACTCATACCATCACCTCAAAAGGCAAAGATTCTTGCTGTTTCGGGGCAAGGGAGCCCCTTCCAGACCAGAACAGTGCCTGTTCCCAAAACTTTGTGCATTCAAGTAGGGGTTCTAAGACCTGTTCTTTCATTTGTTGCTAAACCAATTGGAGTTCTGTTTGAACCACTGCTCAGAGACCATTGCTTTACACTCCATTTCTTGGTTAATCATGTCAATTGTATATCATTAGTCACAGGGACCAGGCAAAACAGGATAAATGATTCCGGGCAAAATCATCCCCATTCCTCAACAAACTCAAGATTCCTTGTTGCCCTCCTGTACAGACAAAGGCTAGCATCACGAAGATCTGGAGATATCGGGCAAGGAAGGAAGAGTGTAGTTCTGAGCCAAGGGAAATAACCTTGTTTGTTTTGTTTTGTTTTGTTTCTCTTTAAACAGCCTACACAGTTTGGCCAATGGGATACAGCTACTTTTGAAAATTCAGACCAAAAGATGAAATTTCTCAGACTTATGGGAGGCTTTAAGAATTCTTCCCTATCACTCAACAGTTCCCCAGGCACCGCTGGGAAACCAAACATGGCTCTGAACAAGCAGGCTGCCGCCGCCTTACAACAAAATCTACAAGTGGAGTTTGACAGAGCAATGAGCTGGAAGCATCAGCGTGGAGTTGGACTTGGCTATTCAGCTTCTGCAAACAAAAACAAATTATTTTATGTAGACAGAAATGCATCCAGATCTGTAAAGTTTAATGATTAACGGGTGTCTTGTTCTCCCCCCTCAAAATCACCAAAGTTGTTTTTAAGTTTTCTGTTACATGAGCTAAAAGTTGAGCTTTTTTTTTTTCAATATTGAGCCTGGAGCTTCAGTTGGTTGGGATTTCAAAGCCCCTTGAGAGGCTGGAGGATAAACCTGCATTATAAAAGCCAGTATAATATTTCATTATTAAAAACATTTATGCTTAGTGTTCAAAATTATTCTAGGCCACGGTATGCTAATATCTTTTTAAAGTTGCTTTCCCCCCCTTCCTCTTGTTAAACTAAATTTATGGTCTGGGTCCTTTTATAACTAGGATTTGATAATGATAGTAATAATGAAATAATATTTGTTTGTTTTACCTGGGCACTAGAAGGTAGCTCTGGGAAAATGAGCTATTGTGAAATGCCATAGGAGAATTATAGCTAGATTTTTACATTAAATGCCTCAGCATTTCTAAAATGAATTTTTTTCTTTAAATTTTGTTTTTCAATTGACAGAAATCTAATTTGTCTCCCTCCCATCTGCTCCTCGAAAAAACAAAACCCTCATAACAAGTAAGCATAATAAATTCCCATGGTGGCTACGTGTAGAAATACATGTTTTATTTTGAGTCCATCACCTGTCAGAATGTTTCATCACTGGTCCTCTGGAATCATGGTTGGTCATTGTACTACTCAGAGTTCTTGTGTTTTTCAAAGTTTGCGTTTAGCTTTTTCAGCTGCCTTGATTTTAAGTGGTGGCAACAGTTTTAGAGACGTTTAAAAATAACAAGGTTCATTGGTTTATTTTGTTCACTTTTACATGTCAGGATATGGTAGGGTTGTTTATGTTTCAGATCCCTTTTGTACTCTAATCTTTATGAATCAAGCCTTATGATCACAGATCTGAGACAGTAGGGATCTCTGAAGCCATATAGGCCAACTTTCTACAATATCCCCCAAAAGATGGCTTTTGTGTGAAAACTTCCAGTCAGGAAGAAACCAGTACTTCCTGTAAGGTGACCCTTTCTACTTGGGATAGCTCCGATTATAAGGAAAATTTTCCTAATATCACACTTCAGTTGGATCCTTTGCAACCTCCACCACTGCTCCTAGTTCTGGCCTTTGGGACTGAACTTTTGGGATGAATTCATCTTCCCCTAGGTTGACTATGTTTCCTATTGTTTTCTTTCTAGTTCATTCAGTCTTAATAAAACAGACTCAAGACCCTTTATCAATGTCCTTCCTAAAATGTGACTCTCAGAAACGAACATAGCACTCCAGAGGCAGTGATTAGAGTGCTGGACCTGGAATCTGAAAGACCTCCTTAAATGCTTCCAGCTGTGTGATCCTGGGCAAGTCACTTAGTTTCTGTCTGCCTCAATGTCTTCATCTGTAAAATGGAGATAATAGCACCTACCTCATAGGACAGTTGTAAGAATAAAATCAGATATTTGTAATGCACATAGCATAGTGCCTAGCATATAGTAGTTGCTTATTTCCTTCCTTGTAGAAACTATACTTTTCAATACAGCCTAAGATCATATTAGTTTTGGGGGCTACCATATGCTCTTTACTCATTGAACTTGCAGTCCAGTAAAATTCTGAGACTTCTTTTAGCATTATTTCTTTCCATTTTGTATTTTTAAAGTTGATTGTTTTAAAACCAAGTGTGGAGACTTTACATTTTTATTAAATTTCACCAAGATTAGGCCCAATAATCCACCCTTTCAAGATCTTTTTCAATCCTGTCATCCAATGTGTTAGCTATTCCTCCCAAATTTGTGTCATTTACATACCTGAAGAGCATGGTATCTTTGCTTATACCCGTCATTTCTAATAATGTTAAAATGGCATGGGGCCAACCCTGGGTCCGTAGCACACTCTGACCAGAGACCTTTCTGTGGAATCATTAATGGCTATTCTGTGGGTACAGCCATTCAACTATTTCCAAATTCACCCAAACATACCACCATCCAATTCATATCTTCATATTTTCCACTGACTTTGCTGCATGCTTTGCAGATGTCTAAAGATAGTATTCCCTTAGTCTACAAGTCTAGTAACCCCATCAGAAAAAAAAAAAGAAGAAACTTGCACTGGTGTGGCCACTCAAGTCAGAGGAACTGGGTTCAAATTCTGCTTCTGACATGGGTCTTGGTTTTCCATCTGTAAAATGAAGGGGTTGGACTAGATGATCTCCAGGGTTTCTTGCATCTTTAGGATTATGATATGATGCCTGGTTTGGGGTTTTTTTGGTTTTTTAAATCAAGCCATGAATCTTTATGGTCACTGCTTATAGGTGAAGTTTGCTAACCATCACTTCAATACATTCTAGGATTTTGCAAGGATATAAAGTTCAGTAGCCTACATTTTGTAGGCTTCATTTTTTTCATTTTTGAAAATCGGAACATTTGCCCATCTCAGGTCTTATGTCCCTGATTCACTAAGGTCCTTCAGAAAAACTGGCGGGTAGTCAGTAATCACAAATGCTGGGCTTTTTCAGGAGCCTCTGGGCTCAGGGACAAACTCATCAAGGTTAGCTATGTGCTTCCTTACCGTCTTTCGACTTTTCTTGTGTCCCAACTCCTTATTAGTCAGTTGGTTTCTTTTCCCCCATTCTCTTGTGCAGCTGGTGGGAAAAGTTAAGCCCCTTTTGCCCTCTTATTCTAATCCCACCCACCCAGAGCTATTTCTTTGATATACCTAAAAATCCTTATTGCTTTCATCTCTAGATTCACTAAGAAAATTCTTACACCTTACAAATATTACATGGCAAGAATCTTTTTGAAGTGGCTAGATGTTATAGCATTAGCTAATAATTGACTGAGTTCCTTTCTCAAATGAGAGGGCTTCTCTGCACAGTGTTATCTTTTGCTTTCTCTGACTTTTCAGACTATACTAACTACACCCTCAGAAAGGTGAGCAGAAAAGGTAGCCCTGTTATTTTCCAAATTTACTTCTGAACTAAGCAAAATGGCAGTTGTAACTGATCATTGATGGCCAGAGATCTGCTGGATTATCAGCAGAGCAGACCATATGAAAAGCAGATTTCTCCACCTCTGCTGTATGTAAGGTCCTTTGTAAATAGTTCTTGGTCATGTACAACAATCCTTGATATACACAGATGTAAAAATGATTAGATTTATGTGTATTATATATAATTCCTGCTTTTCTAAGGCTAAAAAGTAGTTTTACTAATTTGAAGTTTCTCAAGGGACAAATATTTTATTGTACTTACGCATGATGTACTTAGGCCTTCCCAACCGTGAGCAGCAAGATCTAACTATAGAAGTTAAGAAACATTTATAAAGAGCCAGTTATGTGCCTGCAAGGCACTGTGCTAAACCCTAGGGACTAAAATACAAAAAAGGCAGTCCTTGCCCTCAAAGAGCTTACATCTAATGGGTGAAGACAACACACACAAAGAAAGTTGAAAAGAAGGGCATGAGGGAAAGGTTGGGGGGACAGGACATAGTAGAGTCCAGTCCAAGGAGTATAGCTGGTGGAAAGTAAAAGTTGGCTGTTCTGAGTCCTCTTTAAATGGAGGCTTTGGGGAGAATTCTTTACTCCATCCTCTAGTCAAAGAAGCAGAGGATACTGCTGAGGTGAGATTCTCAAAGTTGATTCAGTCTTGCAGATCGTGAGTTTCCTGAAAGCATGATGATAGTGAAGTCTAGTCCAAGGAGCGCAGCTTGTGGGAAGTGAATATTATACATACACATAATGATTTTCCTCCCCAGCTGATCTTTGTGAGTAGCAAGATCTAACTAGGCTTTTAAAAATTTTACTGAGCAGAGATGTAAAAGTAATGTAATTATTCTGATGTAATTAGGCAGCATATAAAGTGATGTTGGTTTGGGGATAGCTTTTATGTAAAAATAATATTAGCATTTTTCTTCTGTTCCTTTGTTGTTGAGTCGTTTCAGCCGTGTCTGACTCTCCATGACCCTACTTGGGGTTTTCTTGGCAAAGGTACTGGAGTGGTTTGCCATTTCTCTCTCCAGCTCATTTTACAGATGAGGAAACAGGCAAATAGGGCAAAGTGACTTGTCCAGGGACACAGAGCCAGTAGGTGTCTGAGGCCAGATTTGAACTCAGGTCCTCCTGACTCCAGGGCCGGTGCTTTATCCATTATGCCACCAGGGATGATTGTACAGTTACTCCTTAGCTTCTCTCCATGTTAGGGAAGGTGGATGCCAGCAGCAGACACCTACTGGCATCTAATACTTCCATGTTGCTCAGTTTCCCCAACCTTCAAACAGTTGTCCCTGTTTTTATGATGAACTTTATTTTCAAAAACTTTTGGTAAGTACAGTTTATATGTAAATAACAACATAAAACTCCCCAAACCTTCAGATCCCATTTCGTCCTCTGAAGAGAGGCAGCAGGTTGCAGCAGAGCCAGGAATGTGTAGGTCATGCCTTAGTTCTGACCCTGGGCAAGTCACTTAAACTCTCAGTGCTATAAACAACTCTCTTGAGACTATATATGCATTGGTAGAGAGTTTCCTCATCTGGGAATTCCTTATACCAATATGACAAAGGTCCAGTCTTTATCCCTAAATTCCTTTGGTTAAGAATGGAATAACTGGTTATACTCAGTTTATCCATAATTTTCATGTTTGTTAATCTCCTCTAAGAAACAGCCTTTGGATTATCATTAAAGCACACTTATACTCCTAACGCCAACTTGTAACTGATTTCTGAGAATGACTCATTTATCTGGTAAAGGGTTTGGGAAACAAAGGCACACAGGTTTCAAAATTATCACTTCACTTAGTTTTGCTCACATTGTCACAATGAAAGAATTTATGAAGCAGGTAAGGAAAAACTATAAAATTTGTCAGTTGTTCCTCTAGATTATACAGGGTAACCTGGGATCTTAGTGCCACTTTAAGTTTGAATAGCACTATGACTTTTGGAACATACTATATTTAGGAACACACACATGAAGAAATTCAGGCCCAAAGTCACACACGTAATAAAATTGCGAAGTTGTGTTTAAACTTGAGTCTCCAGCCTTTCCATATCGAACTAAACAAATTTACTACTCCCTTGATTATAACCAACAGAATATATGCACATGGCACTGGCTCTGGGCTACTCCCACATAAAGTTTCTACCTTGAGGTTCTCAGGGTACTTTTGGGTACCAATTCTTGCAAATGTAGCTCATGAGCCCCAACTCAGGTGCTTTCCTTAATCCACCAACAGACAAGTGGCTCTTTGCAAAGACATTTACTAAGATGGTGTAACTACAAAATATTGTCCTCTTGCTCCCACATAAACCTGGGACATGGTTAGCCAGAAATACAACTATGGAAGGGCAGGCACAAACCATGGTAAAGAGGGACATATTTAGACATAAGGCCAGAGCCACTTAACTCTAGGACTGAGTCCTCACAAAGCTCTTTCTGGGCACTTCATGGGTTGCTCAGCTGGGCTTCCAGGACCTTCTCCCTGTAGCTCAATTTCTTATTGCCAAGGCTAGCTTTCTCTTGAATCCATAGCTGGCTCTCTTCATTCTGAGAGATTCCACTCCTAAAGCTGCTTCTCTGTAGCTATGTCTGTCAAATGTGGTTTTGCTTCTTTGACTTTGACTCAAACTCTTCTAAACTGACTATCCAACTGCTGGATGGAATGTTTTCCTGCACAATTGTTATGATGCTAGATACCATGTCCAGTGCAAGGGAAAAAGAGAATCCCCTCAAACCCTACCTACAAAGTTCTCCACAGATTTTAGGGTGGAAAATTACAATCAAAGGAAGTATTTTTTAAATCTACTTATTAGCCTTCTAAAAAATCCTAGAAAGCTGTTTAATGGAAATTAACTTTTCATAAATCAAAAAATTGAAAATGGGTATAAATATACTGGAGTGACTTCTCAAATAATAACAGACAATTTAAACAGACACAAGTTTGCAAAGCCTTTTATATACATTTTCTCATTTTAGTCTCACAAATCCTGTGAGGTTGGTATTAGCTATTTACTGATTAAGAAACTGTGGCTCCAGGAGGTTAAGTAATTTGGTACTATCACATGAGTAGTAAGCACCTGAAGCATACTTTTCACCCAGTCCTTCCTAACTCCATCTTCAGGACTAACCCATACTGGCTTTCCAAATAGGATTTTAGGATTAACTTTAAAAAAGAAAAGGTGTTAGGAGGCTTGTCACCTTTACATGCACTAATTTTTTCTTCTTAGAGGACCTACAGACTTATTAGAAGGCTGCTTGATGAGATCTAAAAGGTTATTTGCAAATAGAAAGTAAGATGCCCTTTACTGGCAGATGTGAACATTTCTCTTTTCATTGTCAGAATACTTAAACCAATGCCAAAATAAAAGTCAATGTATTGTATGTTCAGGGATTCTTAAAATGAAGGAAGACTAAATTCCAATGAGAGTCTCAGGAAAGAGGCTGTATTGATTAGGTCCTGGTTTGCAGTGGGAGCCTGAGGGCCAGTTCTGACAAATGACTCATTTCTGGTTGTTTGCTTCTTTTCTTGATGTATTCCAGAGTTTTCACCTAAAAGGAAAAATAAAGAAATATTTCCTTCTGTTTCATAATTCTCAAGGCCAACTCCCCTAAGCTACTTGCCAAATCAGCTGAGTAAGTTTACACATTCTTGCCTAGAAGCCCACTTCTTAGCAAAAAAAAATTAAAAAATAAGAAACGAACAAAAAAACAACAGATAAGAACTCTGAAGGAAAGAAAGCCTTTAAATAAAACTCTAAATATGAATTAGATGTGATATGTGTGCACTCAAGATAGATACATTATGCTTTACCAGGAGTTAGATGTTGCTTTCTACTGTAGCATTTTCTTCCAAAATTACTAAACTTTTCAACTGCAACTGTTCTGCTTACAAAGAAAGTGACCTCACAAAAATATGTGCCTGTGACCTTTCTAAAAGATAAGGCTGGGGAGCTGTCAGATAATTATCATCACCTCTCATATTGGATGGTTCTACTAAGGACCTTGTGAGTTTTTTATTAAGCCTTCCTTGCCTGGAGAGTGCTTCATGATATCCCCTTACATATGGTAAAGCCACTTGTGACTTAAAAGGAAGGCTGTTGTTTCCTATGCCACCCTTACCATGGTCCTGGTATCTGCACAGCCATGCCTCTGGGCTAGATTCCACAGGTTCACAGACAGTTGATTAAGTTTGTTGTTTCGAAGATCACCGTGAGCTAAGATGCTGTTAAAGAAGGAAAGTGCGAGAATACTTTGGCGCTTCAGGGTCTGAAATAGGAAGAAAAAAAATCAGCTATTTTATCTTGCCATCCAACCACAAATGGTCATCTTGGAATCAAAATGACAAAATGACACTCCTATCCTAGTGGAAAGGATGCTGGATCTGAAGTCGGAGACCTGAGTTTGAATCCCAGCTCTGCCTTTTGCTTACCTGTCACTCCCTTAAGCTGGTCACTTATCCTCTCTGTTTCCTCAGTTTCCTCATCTATAAAGTGAAAGAGTTCTAAATCGATGATTCTATAATCAAAAGTGAAAACCTAATAGATACAGGTATCTAATGAAAATTGGGAAAATCAAATTATTCTATGTTGTTATTGATTTCATTCTACATCATTGCCAACATTTTTATTACTGCTTAAGTCACGTTTCATTTGTCTCAGAGTTGAGTTTGGAAATTCAACTTTCCTATAAATTGCTCATTGTCTCTGAGTTAAGTTTAGAAATTCAGTTCCCTTGCTAATCACTGTTCTATTCTTTCTTCGAGGAAATTTGTTATCCTTGAAAGGTACAGGTAGATGCCAGGGAGTCTAGTCTGATATCCAAGGAAGCCTGGTCCACTAGTGCTAAATTGTTCTTAGCAAAAGAATGGAAGGAGGGATTGTTGCTAGCCTTTCATTCCCAATTTCCAGCCAATCATATTGTTCTTCACACCTATGATGCTATAGACTTTGTAGCCAATAATACTGTTTTTCTACCTATAATGCTGCCTTCTATTCTGGATGCTCCTCCTTTTGTCTATAAATAGAGTTGTCCCCCTCATTCAGGGTCTTAGCTTTTCTGAGGGGGCTGAGGGCCCTGTTTGTTGGAAAATTCATGCTTTTTCAGTAAATTGATCGTGCTCAAATCTTTGTGCCCCAGTTTACCTTTATTTCAATTGTAACACTAATAAATCTAAAATAAAACTCAGTTTCTTCCTGGAGTCATTAATATAATTAGTATTAATCAAAATAGCAGATTATGCCAATCAGGTGGCTTTGACTTTAACACTAATAACCTATATAGACACTTCTCACTCACAAAAATAAAGTCAAACTCCTTAGCTTAGCATTCAAGGCCCTGATGATTTAACTGTCTAGCTCTATCTTTCATGTAACTCCATTCCTGCATTCCTCAAATAAATCTTTATTTCCCATAGCTGCCATGCCATTCTCTAAGCTCAAAATGACATATCTCAGCATCTTTGTCAGTTGAACTCCAAGCCATCTGTCAAATACCAATGTGCTACCATTTTTTTAATGCCAGTGATTTCCCCCAACTCTTTATTGATGACTTTTCTTTTTATATAATATTCACAAATCGATCTCACCACCCACTGATCCAATGAGTTTTTTTCTTTTAACAAAGATTCAAAAAGAAATAATTTTGTAAGACCAACCAAAATGTCTACATCTGACAGTATATTCAATATTCCACAGTCTCCCACCAAGGCAAAGAAGTTACATTTTATCAATTCTTATTATGACCACAGTGCTTCCATGTTTCAATCTTAAACTATCCTAATCCATCCTGCCTTTTCCCTTCCCTACCCATGCCCCCCCAAGCTAGAAATGATCCTTCTCTTCTTTCAATTCTCATTATATTTCCTTTGTTCCCCTTACACCTTCATCACATTTTACTTCACATTAAACAGTCCTTATCCCCTTCCTTTCATCTCAGAAGATGGCAAGCTACTTGGAACCAGGGAGGGTATCTTAGATTTCATGTAACCCCCTCAATGCTTGGTTCCATGCTTCCAGCATAGAATAGGCTCAATAAATATTTGTTAAATTGAATTAAAAGTCACATACTCCCCAGCCATGCCAACAACAGATTAGGAAATAACCTTGGGAGCTTTCTCAGAATCTTACCTCTCACTCCCTAGAAGCTCATTGCTTTAGTATCTTAAATAAATAATAACTGAACCTTTCTTCAGATGCTCCAAGAGACAGAGATGAATCATGCTTCTTTCTACATAAACTCCAAAGGTTATTTTGCTGAAACATTGTGCCCAAATCTACTAAACCCATTGTTTTTCTCATCAGCTCCCCTGGACTTAATTACCATCTCTATGCTGATTCTCAAATCTAACTATCCTGCTCCAGTCTCTCTGTTGACCTTCAATCTTGCATCTCCAACTGCCTTTTAGACACCTTAAACTGTATGCCCAGTTGACATCTTAAATTCGCTATGTAGAGGGCAACACCATACTCCCAGTCCCTCAGGCTCACAAGCTAGGAATCGCTATCTCTCTCTCACACACACACCCCATATTTAAGTTGTTACCAAGGACTACTGATTTCACCTTTGCAACATTTCTCAAATATGTCCCCTTCTCTCCTCTGACACCGACACTATCCCAGTGTAGGGTCTCATCACCTCATGCCTGGATTATTGTAATAACAGGGTGGTGGTTTGGCCTACCTCAAGTCTTTCCCACTCCAATCCATGTTCTATTCAGCCACTAAAGTAATTTCCCTAAAATGCAGATCTGATCATGACACTATAAACTCTAGTGGCTCATATTGCCTTCAGGATCAAATACAAAAATGATCTATTTGGCATTCAAAGTCCTTCATAACCTTGCCCCTTGCTACCTTTCCAGTCTTCTTATACCTTACTCCCTAACATGTACTCCTCAATCCAGAGACACTAACTTCCTGACTGTTCCACAAACAAGACACTCCATCTCTCAACTCCAGACATTTTCTGTACCTGTCCTGTATGCCTGGAATGCTCTCCCTCCTCCAATCCTACTACAGATCTCTTTGGTTTCCTTTAAGTTTCAACTAAAATCTCCATCTTCTACAGGAAGCCTTCTCCAATCCTTCTTAATTCCAGTGCCTCCCCTCTTTTAACCATTCCTTATTTATCCTGTATACAGCTTGCTTTCTATACATTTGTTTGCATGCTGTCTCCCTCATTAGATTCTAAGCTCCTTGAGGAGAAGATCTGTCTTTTGCCTTTATTGTAACTCCAACGCTTAGCACAGTGCCTGGCATATAGCAGGCACTTAATAAATGTTTCCTGAATTGACTGAACCTTATCTAACCCCGTAATATCAAATATAGGTTCAGAAAATAAAACTGACTCAAAATTGAACAATAAATTCTAATACAGAAAAAAATTAAAGGCAAGTAGAAAATGTAAGAGGTATATTCCAAATTGCTAATGTTACAATCCTCGTGCCTATTCCTAGCTAATTACAGGCAAGGTAGGGCAGCTGGGTGGCACAGCAGATAGAGGGGCAAGCCTAGAATATGAAAGACCTGAGTTTAAATTGAGCTTCAGACATTAGCTGTGTGATGCTGGACAAGTCACTTAATCCTGTTTGCCTCAGTTTCCTCATCTGTAAAATGAGCTGGAGAAGGAAATGGCAAACCACTCCAATACCTTTGCCAAGAAAACCCAAATGTTGTCATGAAGTGCCAGAAACAATTAAAAATGAATGAACAACAACAATGTGGATTAGTGGCAGAGCACATTTTAAATCAAGCTATTTGCATATATTGGGTGTGTACTTTAAGTTCCAAGCAGGATGAACTTTTTTCTCCCCAAAATAGCAGCTGAACTGATGTGTTGGAATTAAAAAAATGCTGAAACCTGTGATGAATCATGGTGGTTTCCCATGAACTGCTTTTTCTCCATAAAGACAGAAAACATGGTAAATTAAGAAGGCGATCTACAGTTGTTAGGGTAGCTCACAGAACTTCCAAGAGCCAGCCTTAAAAACAGGAAGAGACAGATATAAGTCCTGCCTCTAACACTTACATGTGTTACAAGACACTTCGTTTCTCACGCAATTTTTTAAGACCAAGTTGCAGAGCAGTTGCTAACCTGCACTGGCACAGGGGAGTTTCTGCCCCTAGAGTTTTCTAAACCAACGAAATCACAAGCCCAATAAAAAAAAGAAATCATAATGTATTAAAGTTAAAACAAAGGTCAATATAAAATGTAATAAATGACACTCAAAATTTGGCAACTTTGGACTAAAGCAACCCATGACCCTATTGTGCAACAGCAAATACCAATTTTTAAACTGATGACAAACCTGGCCTTTTTTTTTTTAATAATGTCTAATTTGGAACTTGTTACTAAATGTTCTGTCACTTCTTTAAAACAATAAAATCCTAACCAAAATGGCAAAGATCATTCAATGTAATAAAATCTAAATCTTCTTTCCCAGGGTCAGATGGCAAAGCTTCTAGCAGCAAGGAAGCTCTGAAGTAGGAAAAACGCCCCGAGCAGCAGCCTCCAGGCAGCCCTAGCCAAACCCAGCATCCACACAACTTGAGTCTGCCCCTCAGCAGCAGACAAGGCCAAACAAATCCTGCAGAAAGTGGGGTCTAGTCTTAGCTACCACCCTCAGAATCAAACAGGGCCTGTCTACGTCATCTAGGAGTACAGCAGTAGAGTATGACCCAAGCAGAAGCTCCCAGTACAGACAAGGATGCTGGTGACATAAGTAAACTGAAGAAAATGTCAAAGGAAAGGGAAAAATACTTTGGACCAAGAGACGTCCAAGAGTAAACAAGTCCAAATAGAGCTTCAGACAAAAAAAAAAAAGAATCCCCTGCCCACAAGAACCACAAGTGAATCTGGAAGAAATTAAATAAGACATATAAAATGGAATAGCTAGGGAAGAAAGAACGGTAAGAACAATTAATACTTTAACATAAACATCAAGAAATCTTACCCTAAAAATCGGAATGGGTCAAACAGAAAATAACTCAATGAGACAACAAGAAATACGGAAACAAAATCAAAATATGGGGGGAAAAATAGAAAATGTAAGGAATATAATATCAAAAACAAAAGACCTGGAAAAAGGTCAAGGAGAGATAATCTAGGAATTAGACTACTTGAAAATCACTATTTGAAAAACTCCTCCAAAAAGCTTGGTTACCATACTTTAAAAATCATAAGTAAAGACCCTACAGAAATCTTAAAACTAGAGGGCAGAGTAAAAATAGAAAGAATCTACTGGTCACCTTCTTAGAGACACCTGACAA